AATCTTTCACCAGCCAGCAGGAAGACACAAAGACTCCTGCTGATCCTACTCTATAATCCTCTTTAATAAACCCTGCTGTCTGTTGACTGTGAGTAGTCATATTGTTAAATCAGTCCAGACACTTTCAAACAACAATTTAACTTTGTGCTGGTTTTATTTTAGATTAACTGAATAATATGCAGTTTCTCTCCTCAAACTGGTTTGAGTTTGTATTTTCATCTGAAACCATCAACGGGTGTTTTTATTTTTATTTTTAAATGTTTGTTAAGTTTTTCTTTGCTGAAAAACACCTTTTTATTTATGTTAATAAGGGAAGCAGTTATCTGATTTTAAGAGTAGAATAGCCAAGCTTAAGGAGGAGCATTCCTATCTAGGGGAAAAGATTTTACAGCATTTATTTTTCAGGTTGCATCTCTGTTATATGGAGAAATAGATGCTGTTAGAAGATATGAATTTTGTATCGTTTACATCCACTGGTTGATTTTCTCTATATTACATTTTCTGAGATTATTAAGTTCAAAAGTGCATTGCTATAAAGCCAGCAGTTGTGTTCAGTGAGCAGAATGTGCAAGTTTTGGTGTGGTTCCCACTGAGCTCTTTGTAGCAGGGTGCCCAGTTAAAGAGAAGCAGCAATAAATGACTGGTTAACATTTTTGCTGTTCTTCTTTTTAGAGATTAAGTATGAAAAACAAACCAATGTGTATATATTACCCTGAGACAAGGGGTTCTTTGATAGAAATGGAAATAGATGCTGATCAGTTTCTTTGTTCATACCCCCCAAAAAACAAATGAAAACATTACAATTACAGTTAATTTTTGTTTGCTTATTGTTTTTTTTTCTTTATATATATATTGGTAATAAATCAATTTGGGGACTTTATTTACTTTTATGTTATGTTTCCCCAAGTAGCCCACTAAACAAAACAAAAAACAGCCATGTTTTTCAAAATAAGATGTTGGTGCACCAATTAGAATTATTAAATTATTTATTTTCCAAGTTAAAGCAAAAAGCTACAGCAGTTATGTCAGAAAGAACAGCTAAAAACAATCTGAGGATGATGACAGCAGCCTGCAAACTAAATGGAAATGTACACTGAAATATATTATGCAACTTGTTTTGGCATTTACTTAATCATGTTAAGTTACTTTAAGACAATTGTTTCATGTCCTACCCTGCTAACATAAAAAAAACAATTTATTTACGCAACTGAATATGATAAGTAAATGTCAAAAATGGTTGAATTATTTTTCTCAGTGCAGAACTTTATATATATATATATATATATATATATCTATATAAAAAAGAAAGACTGTGGCTTCCATATAAATGCGAATTTTGTCATAATTTATATAACTTTAGTTTTTGCAGTGCAGGATCCATAGGCTGACAAAAATCCCCAGCTTAGAATTGTAATGACGGACAGAAATTGAGCAGCGAGTTAGGTCTGTGTGACAGCTTCATGCCACCACACATTCAAAGCCCATGGAGCTTAAATTGGGTTATAAGCCTGAAAGAAGATCTTCTGCAGCTGTGGTGGAGAGGCGGTGCTGGGCATGCAGCTTCTGCTCTCACTTTTTCTTGTTAAATTTGCTGCATGACTTTCCCCCAGACCCCGTCGATATTCCACAGAGTAAACAAGCCTTTTGGGCATTCATCATCCGCTTGGCAGCACAGCAGAGCAAAGTCCCCTCCTTTTGATAGAGGGAATGAGGTGATAGAAAACAGTAATAGGTATGACTGAGCAGTGGCAACCTGCATGATGGTCAGTAGGGTTTTTGTTGGATGAGCTCAGAAAACTTTTTTCAACCAGAGGAGTTTGGAAGATAAGTTCATAAATGGTAAAAAAAAAATGAAAATAAATAGAAAACATCTGCCTCCGAAGGGATAGGAAAACTATGTTGGACCTAGACTTTTAATGTGAAGCCAGAGGGCAGATCATTCTCAGCAAAAGTCAGATAAAATCCTCTGAAATAAAAAATCCTCACTGACCTTCAAACATGGATCCATTTCAAACCAACACCACGTCCCAAGAAAACACCTAAATCTCTATAGCTGCAGCCAGGAGAGTTATCTTAATATAAATAATGGATTTTATTTTGGGAAAATTGCCTCCTGTGAAGGATAAACATTCCTTTGTCTGAGGAGTTTTTTGGTTTTTTTTTTTACACTGACTACAACTTAATCTGTAGAATAGTGTCCATGTTGAAGAAATTAAGCCATCTTCATAATATTACCTTCACACAAACCTGTGTTCATGAATAAATTTGGGAATTTGATAAAAAAATAAATCCTTCAGATGTCCATGTTTGGCTTTATGCAAAATGATAAGGAAAGTCATGGACTCATGCACAGATGTTGATACATTTTATTTAGAGATTTGATTATGAAAACGTGGAAGATTTGATGGAAGAGATGTTTCTTATCGAATAATTTAGTTTGGCAAAGGATAACAACATTCATTGACATCCCTAGTAAGACAAGAGCGGCATCTTTTATTGCAGCAGCAATCCAGACAAAGAAAAACTTAATATAAAACCTTAATTTTATATGAAAATATATTATAGATATTCAATAAAAAATGTTTGAGGAAAAAAGTTAACTAGATTAATAGAATAGTGTTTTTAATGCCTCTTGGCACCTATGTTTGTAGAATTTCCCCATTGTGGGACAATAAAAGGATTTTTCTATTTTATTCTATTCTGTTCTAGTACTTCGTACATTTGCTGCTAAGCGATCTTTAATAATTTTCACAAGGAAAATCCGATACAGACAGAAGAATTTTCTGTTATTTTTCTTTTTAAAATCCCAGTCAGAAAAATAACATTCACTGGAATGGCATTATGAGTAGGGTGCATATTTTTGCTAAGGTTAAATAAAATTATCTTGTTTTTTGACACAAACATAGAGTAACTCTGACTTCATAGAAATGCACTTTATTTGAACAAAATATTACACTTTTTTTTAACTGTGTTTTTGTTATTCATTTGCCACCTGATTGTACGGAGCTCTTGGAAGGGTGTGAAGGGCAACAACCTGAGGCACCTAGCAGCCAAGAGCAGAAAAGGGCAGATAGTCTCAGTTCATGAAGGCTGCAGCAGGCCCAGATGGAAAAACACCACGCACCCCGACAGAGCAGACATATGCTCTAAACGGGGATAGGTCACTAGAGAAGCAAAGGAGCAGCAGAACCCAAGCAAAGAGAGGCATAGATATGAATAACACCTAACTCACAACGCATGCATGTCACCCATGTCACCCACAATGTCATGAAATTTGACAAAATGAAAATAAAAGTTGTCCAAGTCTAACTCAATAGAGGTCAAGCCAGTAACTCAGAAATCCCAGCAGTCAGATCCCAACACAAACTCCAGGCAGTTGCCCCTTAAGCACCAAGTAAAGCCTCTCTTTCACATTGTCTTTATACCCCAGGGATGATAAGGATCACTAAATAAAACTTACAAGATACTCTGATAATCTTTAAAAACACTACATCACCATTTATTTTATTTGTTAGATCTGCCAGTAACATTACAACTGTGATTATTTAAAAACATTTAACAGGGGATTATTTCCTTCCTAAACTACCGTAAGCGTATTTTGATAACATTAAAATAAAGTAATCAGAAAAACAATTAGAATCCTTTGACATGTCTGCTGAGTACTTTAGATGAGGTTGCATCTGCAAGAAACACTATTCAGTGCCGAAAGCAGACTTCTTTTCCAATGCTTACCAAGAAACTGCCTAACAAAAGATGAAAAGTTCATGAATTTTCAACAATTGATTTTTTTGATGTCTTTTTCAAAGGTCAAGGCAGACCTTGACTGTTTGTTGAGCATTGCCAACAAAAAGGACCATGTAACTACTGCTGAATCATCCCTGACTCATGGGGTATACAATCAGGATCGCTTTGAAAGGTTCAGATAAATAGCTCTAAAATCACAAGGATTCAAATTACACATATTTTATATTTGTAAACCTACTGAAAGCAGTTTTAGTGACTCACGTTCTTTTCAGTGAGTGTTAAACTTTCAAAAACAGTTTTTGTGGAGAATGAATCAGGAGTGTCACAATTCATAAACGATTCTTACATATTATAAACGATTTGCTGATTCAATAAAATAAAGAAGGAAAGAAAGAATGATCCGTGTCTTGGGGTGTTTTAGTAGTGACTGCATGTGAGAAATGATATTGTCTGTTTATGATGCTTTGTTGATTAAAGGCAAAACAAAAAATAAATCCTGTTTTAGTTCCAGAGTTTTACATTTCAGGACAAAATAAATTGACTTGGTCATTCACAGGTTCAAACAAATTTCTAATCTAACCTCAAGTGTTCCTCAAGAGACTGCACACCATCATCATTTACATAGGTAAAAGAGGAAAAGGAGTTAAATTTGGCTCCACTCCTTCTCTTTCACTAGTTTTAAGAGAGAAAAGCATCAGTTTCATCAGCAGCTGCTGAGACAACCTCTGTAAGTGAAGTAAAAAGATGTGTGATAAACAACGTCAGGACAGAAAGACAACAGGAATAATCTAACTGTTGCTACTCAACGATCTGGTAAGTAATTGAGGCCATTTACTAACATTTTAAAATCACTTCTAAATGAATAACTGGAAGTAGTTTTATGGAGTTTTAGACAACCACTACAAGTCATTTCATTATACAAACTATGTTTATGTATGTTAAGATCATCCTAAGTGTTTAGAAACTCAAAGAAAGGGTGAAAATGCCAACCTTGTAGACCAGATTGAAAATATTTAGAGCAGTAATTTTTAATTTCAGTCCTCCAGCAGCGGCGTCTACAGGTTTTAGATTTTTAGCTGTTTTACAATATCTTAGATTAGATAGATAAATAGATCATCTGGATCATCCGAGCTTGACAGCGTACTGAGGAGCCGAGTTGGTTGTTAAATCACGTGTGTTGGAGCAGCAACACAGAATCAGCAAAGCAACGGATAAACTTGTGGGTCACATTTAAGAGTTAAGAAAAAATGACTCACATGGGATTCTGTTGAGCTCATTCATGAACTTGTTCTTCAGCTTGGAGAAGGCTTCATCCTTCTCTCCTGTGCCCGGTCCGGCCAAGCTGGTGGTGTTGGAGCCAGCTGTTGAGGATGAGGCAGTGGTGAGCTCCGGGGCAGCGGCCGCCAGCGCTTCCCTTCTACTCTCAGTCATCGTGGCGATGCTGGGCAGCCAGGCAGTTGCTGCGTAAAGAGAATAAATACAGGTGAAGCAGATGATGGTAGTTTTGTTCCTGGTTTTCAGTCTCTATGACAGATGCATGGAGCCTGCCTTGTCAGATGACTGAGCTGATGCAGACTGTGTGAGCAGCTGTAGGCAGAGCCTGAGTAAACATCAGTTGGAGTCCACAATCAACTGGCTAGCACTTTGAAATCAGAGTAAAGCTTCTTGATAATTTTCTAAATTCAATATTAAGATGACAGAGTAGCAATAAAATGATAATAGAGTGCAATCCATGAATATCTGATCTATGACTGTCTTAATTATTATTCTGTCATCCCAATGGTGACATGCTGGGATCATGCTGCACACCAAACAAAGCTATTTACACACACCAGGTGTATTTACTTTATCTTTTGGTCGGGTTGCAAAGGAAACACTCTGACTCATACGTTATCCCCAGCTCTTTGTGTAGAGGCGCTCATGCAGTCACACATGTAGTCTACTGCTAATCTTCATTGTTTTTTCAGATAATTCATCTCCAAGGATGTCGGTGCAAACCTCACTATGGGACGTCCCTTCTGCAAGTTTCCTTTTCCTCTCAATGCTGCTTAAAGGCAACAGAAAATGACTCATTACAACTAAATACCAACAGATATACAGTATGGTTTGAAAAACATCTACAGCAGAAATACTGAAATTCCACTAAAAAAACCTTTCTAAGTGTTCAAATATTTCAAAAGAAACATGACACTAAAATAAATATTGTGCAACCTTAAATGCAATACATACAAGTCTTCATATAGAAGCAATACAGCCTTTTATCCAAAGATTATGCAAAAACCAAGGGATTTGAGTGCATCAGGTGTGCTACATAAGAAACATCTCAGATACCTTAACTGTTGACAGATTTAATTGCAAGTCATAAATATGGAGAATTGTCCAAGATGTTTAGAAAGGGGATCGTTGCACCACAAACAGGGAAAATTATGTTTTTGTTTTATAAGGCCTCAGATATTGTTAGCGATACAACTGGAAGCATAGTTTAAAGCTACAGAAACAGTGGCTGGTAGAAAGAGAAGGCAATTAACATCTGGTGAGACATTACTGATCAGGTAGGAGATCAAAAATGATAAAATTCCTAGGAGGGAATTAACTGCAAGGTGTACACAACCGATTGCTAAAGCGCTGTTGTCTCCAAAGGAACCTTAAAGGAACAAATGAGATTCTTTTTTTACGAGATGTCAAGACCATCATTACTACAGTAAAGAACCGTGATCCTTAAGTGATTCCTTTGTCTCCTGTGGCTCTGGAAACCAGAGGTGGAAAGAGTACTAAAAAATTGTAATTGAGTAAAAGTACTTTGCCTAAATTTTACTCAGAGTAAAAGTAAAATTACCCATCTCAAAATTTACTCAAGTAAATGTACAAAATTACTTCATTTAAAATGTAATTTGAGTAAAAGTTAATTAGTTACTTTGAGTTATTTAATGCAAAAAAGGATGAGTCATGAATCGAATTGAGCACAAGGTGTTTTAATCGATTTCAAGGCGTATTTCAGTGGACATCCACACTTGCAAAAGATCAGCTGGGCTAAAGAACATACTTCTTCACAGCACAAGGACAGTCACAACCTATACTATAAAGTGCAAACAGTTTTCATTCCTACTGTCCAACAGACAACACCATGATAGGAATAAAGAAATTTAAAGTACGTTTTAAAGTTTTCAAAATGCACACAAAATTAGATGCCCAAAAGATACCAGAAATCAAACTAAAACGCAACAGGATCCCATTGTTATTAACAAGCTCCTCATTTAATGATTTTAACTGACACTTGTTTTACTTTAATAGTGATTTTTAACTGACACTTATTTTTACATCAATTGTTTATATGTTTGAATGGTGTAAATTAAGTGCTGTTAAAAGTCAAAAGTCTTCTTCTATTTTTTAATGGCGATTAAGTGTCGGTTCCGTGACACAGGGGTTTAAATCTGCGGCCGTATTACATTTTTTCATCATCAGTATTTTTTTTATTTTTTTTTTACTCAGTAACGTGAGGGGATTTTAAATGTAGTGAAGTAAAACTACTTAGGTTAAAATTTACTGGAGTAAAATTAAAAATTACATATTTCAAAAACTACTCAGAAAATTACAAATTACTCATAAAAAGGACTCAATTACAGTAACTTGAGTAAATGTAATTCGTTACTTTCCACCCCTGCTGGAAACCTGCATCATGCGGAGGGCAAGACTGAATCAATGAAGTATCTATTATCAAGTACTTTGGGAAATTATGTGATTTTTTTTTTTTATTCACCCTGTAAATTCTCACTGAGATTAAAAACATGCTCTTTCAAGAGTTTTCTTACTGAGAGGCATCCAAAAATTACTCAGTTACAATGAAACAAACAAAAAATAATGAGAAAATGCCATACAAATTAAGATAAATACTTAAAATGTATTTAAATGAATCATCTGCAGTTCCCTCAGTCTATACTTAAAAGTGCTCAATGAATTAAGTCAGTTAATTTATTCCATCCAGACGGAGCCGAGTAAACCAAAGTCTTTCATCTTAGTTCTGTGCAAGGAACTGGAAACAGAGAGCAGCAAAAACTCATTTAAAGACAAATAAATATAATCAACCATGTTTATGTGATTAAATCACAGATCACGGAGAGCAGCAGCCCAAAAATTCCCTAATAAAAAAGGTATACCAATGCTAAAAACCCCTGATGGACAAAGAAAGCAATCAAATTCAAGAGTACAGTTGAGAGTGATGGGTCAATGCTTTGCAATAATGAAAGGAATGAACAGAGGCCTTCATATTTACATCAGATCTCCATAATCTCAAACAGATCATCTGCTACAGGCTGAGGATATACATCAAGCCAGGCGAGCTGGCTGAACGCGTAAATAAACCTCTATGATATTTCCATGAAAAGACACAGAAATAGTTAGAGTAACCTTCAGGGTATTTGCAAATAAAATAATTTGAGCCTTTTAGCATTAAAACTGTGTGCTAGGCCATGTTAACAGCTTCCTTCAGTGGTTTAATAGATTGATCAAGGTTTAATAAAAAACAGTAAATAAATCTGCCATTGGCATAAAATGCATTTTAGCGTATTAGACATTTGTCCTGGCTCATTCATGTATATTATGAACAGCAGTGGACCTGACAATGAGCCTTGGCGCACCCCCTCATGGACACAGGCCATTTGCATTTAATACCCTGTATACTGTCACTCAAATAATATGTAAAACAGAAAATTAAATGATCCAACAAGCTCAAAAGCCTTCGCTTTGAAGCACCATGGTCAATAGTGTCAAAAGCTTTTCACAGATCAATACTAAGTGTCACAGAGTTTTGCTTTCTATCAAGAGGAACAAGTACATAATTAATCACTTTTGTCACTGTGCTGATGGTGCTGTGCTCTTCCCTGAACCCTTTGCATTTCTGACAGGAATTCATTTTTAAGTGTAACAACTCTTGATCCAGTTGATCACAAACAAACAAATTCAAAAATTTTTGACAAGAAACAGAAATTACTTAAAACATGAAAGCAGTTACTTAAAACTGCTCAATCACCTCTTTTTATTAAAGGAGTAATAACACCTGACTTACAAACTGAGATTTCTTTGTTTTGGAGAGAAAAAAAAATAAAAATGATTGTAAGAGGCTGTGCTACAAAATCATATGCAATTTTTGGAAAACTACAGTAGGGCTCTTTCAGGTCTGTTCTAAGGGTCTTTTTTGTGATATAACCCTTTAAGAGCCTAGTGCACAAATGAAAAATAGTCTGCAGAAAGCATTGGAGTGCTTTTCAGGGGGGCACACAGGCTGCTGTTGAAGAGTCAAACAAAAACCAAGATGATGCAAACTCTTGTTGAAGCAGTTTAGGAACAATTTCAATCAGACTGGGACAAAGTATTTAAAAAAAAAAAAATTTGGGAAATCTTAAATGTTAACAGACTAAATCTTTTTTCAAAATTTCTGTGGATTGTTGAGGTTCTTTTTTGTGAAAAAGTAATAATCTGAGATAGTCTTTTTGATGAAAGAATTGCATTAATTTTTCAGTTGCTTGGAGATCTGCAAGTTGCAGTCAAATTATATTGCTGAATGATAGAAGTTGATAATTCTCAAGAAAATCAGAATTTCCCGGTACTCTCACTTTAAATACCCAAACAGGAGCATGTTTATTTACATTTTAACAAAACTTTTTTGAAGGATATCCAAGATAGCTTGACATCTGGCAAAGCAGCCTATTTGCAATTAGCCTGGCCAGCCACACCGGTAAACCACACAGCCTGGAAAGGCACAATACTTTCCAGTCTAAAATGGAACGGACCAATAACTGGGCGGGGGTGGGCACATAATGCAACACTGCTTTTAAAAAAACCAAAACAATCAAGATTGCAGCTGCAATAGAGTGATGCTTTAACACAGCAGGGCGCTGAACTGGGTCATGGATAGGTGGAGAACTGCTGAGAAGCGACTGCCCGCCAGGCCTTGTCTCTGGAGGAGGTGGTAGTATTCTCCATCTTGGTTCCGTCTCTGAGAATCTTGTGAAACTAGGAATGCAGATAGCTTTATTCTGCTTTCTAAAGTTAGAAACACTGCCAGTGGCTTTGTAGATCCATGTCCGCCATGATGAGGTGGGACCAACGCCCAGCAGACTCCATGATGTAGGAGCATTTCACCCACTGTGTGAATTTGCCTGCCGTGTGAAAGGCTTTTGCTGGTCAGGTGAATTTCAAGCAAAAAGCAAAACCAGATAAACCAGGCATAAATTGTGAATGCACCTTTAGAATTTCTAAAACTAGCTGCTGGATGACTCAAAAAGATGTTTTTTCATCACATCCATGGCTATCTGATTTGTTTTAAACCCATTTCTTCAAATTTTTAGTCCCAGCTTTGAAATCGGGCTCTAACTGCTCTTTTCCAGACTAACATGCTGTGAAGCCTGCATAAATTGGTTTGGCTGGCTAGGCTTATTCGACCCCAACTGTTCAAAGACAAATC